AGAGAGAGAGAGAGAGAGAGAGAGAGAGAGAGAGAGAGAGAGAGAGAATATTACTGTGTAGTCCAGGCTAGCCTTGAAATCATGGCAGTCCTTCTGCCTGAGCCTCCCGAGTGCTGGGACTAGAGACAACCAGGTTTATTTTTTTCCTGGACCTCGTGATGTTTAGGTAAGTGCTCATCACTGAGCTGTACCTCCAGTCCCCAAAAGTTAAGTTTTGAAGCTACATATAGTTTTAATTTATACAGTATTCCTAGTTTGCAAATTTCAGCCTAACACACACACACACACACACACACACACACACACACACACACACAAAGTGTGACCAGAATTACTTGCCCTCTCCTTTTTCCTTATGAGCCGACTTTGAGCCCTGGGCTCAGCTGCCTACCTCTGCCACTCACTGTGTGGGCAAAGCAACTTGGATCTCCTGGTTTAGCAGGGCAGTACTGCTCAGAAAGAGGGGTCTTTGGGTGCTCTGAGGTGGCAAGAGCCATGAGTGCTTGGGGGACACTGAGGAGGGGACCTGAGAGTGTGAACAGGTGGAGTCACCTGCAGTTCTGCAGACAGAGGGTCCAGGATGGGATCTTTCCTGCTTGCACCCCTGCTAAGCTCCCCCGAAGAGCAGGGATGGATCAAGGCACTGCACAGCTCTGAGCTGCGCAAATGAAGTAAGTCCTGGTGTCTTCCTTAGATGCTGATGCAGCTCTGTGTACCTCTTACCTCTGCTGACAGGGACCACAGGATTGAGAGCACCCAGCGAACAAGTGAAAAGTGATGGCTTTAAGAGCAAGGAAATGAGGGCCGGTGAGATAGCTCAGCAGACTAAGCACCTGCTTAGGCAAGCCCAGGGACCGGGGTTCGATCCCCAGCACCACATGCCTTGCTGGCCCCACCCCCAGGTGCATTAAGCTGGCCACTGAGACAGGGTGTGGTGGCACACATGCTGGGAGGCTGAAAACAGGAAGATCACTACGCATCTGAACTGCGTAGTGAGACCCTGCACCAAATACATGAATGCAGGGCAGTGTTCTGGGATGGTGGTGGCAGACCCACAGCGCAGGTGCTACAGCGGGTTGTTCATACCACAGAAAGCTCTAAGAGTTTGGCACTGCTGCTGTAGTACATAATGCTATTGTGCTTTGTACCAAGAAGTATGCTATTCTAGGTCTCTTCTGGTTCCAAATGAATTTTAAGCATGTTTTCTCTAATTCTGTGAGGTATGCTAATAGTATTTGATTGAGATTACAGTAAGTCTGAATAGCAATTTTGGGAATAGGCCATTTTCTCTATATTGGTTCTTGCTACCCATGAGCAAGGGATATCTTTCCATTTTCTGATATCCTCTTCATGCTCCCTTTTCAACGTACTGTAGTTTTCAGTATAAAGGTCTTTTACAAGGCTGGGGAGATGGCTTAGTGGAATAAGCGCTTCCCTGGCAAGTGTAAGGGCCTGAGTTCAATCCCCAGTTCTGCCAAAAAAAAGGTCTTTTACTTCATTTGCTAGATTGATTTTGAAGTATTTCAATTTTTTGGATATTATTACAAAAGGTACTGTTTCCCTATTTCTCTCTCAATAAGTTTGTTATTTGTGTACAGGAATGTTGTTGATTTTTGAGTGTTGACTTTATATCTAGCTACTCTGCTGAATCTGGTTATTAAATCTAGAAGTCCTTAGGTGGAGTTTTTGGGGTCTTCTGTGTAGAATATCATGTCATCTGTAAATAATGATGATTTAACTTTTCCTTTCTTATCATTATTCCTTTCATTTCTTTCCTTTGTCTAATTGCTCTGGCTAATGTTTCCAGAACTATATTGAAAAAGAGGGGTAATAGTAGACCTCCTTGTCTTACTCAAGAAATTAGGATAAGGGGTCCCATTTGACCCAGCTACTCCTATTCTGGGTGCCTTCCCAGAAGAATTAAAGGCATCATGCCACAGTGATACACGCACCCACATTTGTAGAGACACAGTTTGTTACTGTGCCATTAGCCAGGTGTTGGAAGTAACCCAAACGCTCATCGCCCAATGGATAAAAAAGATGTGTTTTTTTTTTAAACAATGGAGTAGTACTCAGTCCTAAAGAAAGATAAAAAGGAGACATTTATAGACAAATGGATGGACCTTGAGCCCATAATCATAGGTGAAATAAATCAGACACACATTCGCATTGTCTCCCTGGTGTGAGAAACTGAAAATGTGAATAAGGACATGAATGTACAATAGATATCATGAAACAGGAAGAAACTGCTCAAGAGGAAAAGGGAACTAGGA